ATTAGTTTCTGTGAGAGCATGAGTTCTCTTCAGGCTCTTTGCTTTTTACATGTATCTTATGGACTTAGGTGGTCAGTAAGCACAGCTGATTTTTACTTACATTTCAGTTTTGTGACTTATTGAAACCAAAGGCACAAAGATTTTTCATATAACTTTGTCTCAGCTTTTAGTCGTAAAGTGTCAACCCTCGTCAGTTTTGAAAATAACCCAGTTCTCCATCTGTGGAACAGGAAAACTGTACTTTGTCTTCTACAAGTAGTTCAGCTCTAATCATAAATTTTTTTGCCCTGCCTTTTCTTTAGACTTTAAAATCATGAAATCTCAAATTTAAGGGAAGTTTACTTAACGTTGTTTTGAAGTCATCCTCTCTTCTCCCCTATGTTCCCTAAAATAGAGATTGTTTGAACACTTTATAGTTTCAAATGATAGCTTTAAAGATAATGGGTTTGGTTTATTAATCTAGTTTTAAAATTATAGTTCTCTGCTCTTTTGTGGGATTACTGAAATAGTATCAGGATAAACGTGGAGGAGCCTTGAGTATTTCTCAGTCAGTTTGCCCTGTTTTCTAAACTATGAAGTGAGATCTTTGTATTTTAAACCCAGAAACTGGTATCAAAATGGTGTTAAGAACTCCATCAGAGAAGCTGTACTTAATGTATTCCTCAGTTAATTCTCCCTCTCTTCATTGACAACTTACCTGACAAATTAAAGACTCTGTTAGTTTAGCCTTTTAGTGTAGCTGAACCACTAGCACTGTAATAAACTCATTTCCTTTTCTTTTTCATTTCAGATGTTCTATACACTAGATTTACTAGGAATTAAACAGGCTTTGGGGAGCCAATCAGATAACCTAATCACTATATACTCCCATGAAGAAGATGCTGTCCCAGTTGAAAATGGCTATCTTTTGAATGAACATTTAGACTCCCTTTAATTTGGGCACGTCTCTTTCTAGACTTATGGGAAATTTATGAAAAGTAGAGATATGTATCATCATGGTCCAAAATACTTGAATGTTTGTATCTAAAGATATGACCAAAGAAAATTAGATATATATATTTTTTAAATGTTAGTGTTCCAAGAACAAAAAGTTAATACTGGTTATTAAGAGATATATTAAGAAAGCTAAATAAACAAAGATAAAAATATAGTCATTTCTGCCATAATGCCATCTATGTGTTCCTGAAAATCTCACATTCTGCAAAATCAAACACTAAACTAACAGGGCTTACAGGAAAGTTAGCGTTGGTACAGATCATTTACAAATATGAAACTTCGTAAGTATAGCCCTGATAATATCAATCCAAATGCTAGCACATCAAATATCCCCTGACATACACCTGCAGTCAGGCCATACTTTGCAGACTCGGGTGTTCATACTTTCTCCTTGAAGACATTTGCTTCTAATGAAGGCCAATTTCATCAAAACTAAAAATACAGCTCAGGTATTTTTCATCAATTCTGGTGTTTTGTTTGTTTTATTTTTATAATAAAGAAATGTTTTCACATCTCCATCTGTACCTACAGCCTCCCAAGATAGATTAATATAGAGGAAAGTCAAGCAGTTCTTTAAGCCAGTGAAGTAACCACTTGTTGCAATAAAGGAAGGTCCTTCATAGGGTTTTTATATTTTTTCTTGAACTGCGAGAACTCTTACCTCTGATTACTTCAAATCGTTAGTACGCTGGGAACAAAATATTTCACAACTTTGCGTTATATCGACAAGATTCCTCTATTTGTCAATTACATATAAACTAATTCTCACTGAAGAACCAATGCGAATGTAGCTAAAATAATTATGTATGAGCAGTAAAGTCAGATTTGTTATATCCTAAATTGAGAAGGATAGTCAAGATCTAAAAACATGAGGGGCAAGCGAGCAGAACCACAGAAACACTTTGGTTTAAAACAAAGATTCGTTTTCTAAGGCAAGGTTTTGTATGTGTCTCAACCCCATTCCTACCCTGGCTTCTCCCCACGTCAGATAACCAGTTAATCGTGGCATCATTTCTCTTTCCAGAGCGGAGTGGTGCCCAGTTACATAGTAAATGAGCAGTCGCTGCCTCTTTCCCACACCGCCTCAGTAGCCGTCCCGGTACAGCATTCCTGGCACTCCTGCCAGCCAACCAATCTGATTTGGCATATCAGATGATGATATTTATTGACAGTTTACTGTAATTCAAGCAGTGCGCTGAGTCCTTTACCAAAATAATCACAGCCCATCCTTGTAACACTCTGTGTAGTAGGTAGTGTTTTAATCCCCATTTGCAAGTGAGGCAGTGGAGGCTTACATATCCAATTGAATGCAACGATAAGTCACCAAAAATATTTTCTGTAAAAGGGTATAATATAAATTAATAACATTAAATATAATAAACTAAGAAAAAAATGAAATTACAGTTGATGGTAGGTGCTTCAGCTGAAGTGTTACGATGAGTTGGGAATGGAAAATTATTGTAAGAAACTGAAATCATGAAAAAATAGAGGACTCAGGAGGAAGCCAGTTGGCAGATTGGGGCAAATGTGTAGAAGAAATTAGACCTCGATTCCCAGCCTAAGAGGTGGTGAAGGCAGCCTCATTTTCTGACTTTGAAATTTTGAGTTTTAGTCACTGTGGAACCTGGCTTTACTTTATTTCCTGTGCTTGAAAATCTTTGAGATTGCCTGTGGTATCCTTAAAGTAGATTTCCTATTTATTTGAATTAGGTAAAATAACTTTTCCTTTAACTAAACGATGCCTAAAGACAGTCAAGATTCAGAATACAGTAGACCCCAGTGAATGCCTGAAACAGCGGCCGGTACTGAACACTAAATATACTGTTTTATCTATATGTACTTACCTGTGATAAAGTTTAATTTATAAGTTAGGCATGTAAGAGATTAACAGCAGTAACTAATAATAAAATAGAACAATTATACTGTCATAAAAGTTATGAGACTCTGCTCTCTCTCTCTCTGATAATTGATCTGATAACAGAAACGGCTACTGAGTGACTAAC